ATTGCCTTCCCAGACAGTGACAGAGCCCCCCCATTGCCCCCCGCTGAGGTTACAGTGACAGAGCCTCCTTCCCGTGGCCCAGACGTTGCAGATGTCGGCAGTGCAGGGGGAGAAGAGATGGGGCACCCGGGGAAGGGAGCTGAAGGGTTGTTCTAAGTCAACCATCCTTTGCAAACGTGTTGTGTGCTGTGGGGCAGGGCGGGGTGGAGCGGGCCAGAGTGCAGGGGGAGAAGAGATGGGGCACCCGGGGAAGGGAGCTGAAGGGTTGTTCTAAGTCAACCATCCTTTGCAAACGTGTTGTGTGCTGTGGGGCAGGGCGGGGTGGAGCGGGCCAGGCTGCTGGGCAACCCCATCTCCTGCTGCCTGCGGGGTGAGCCACCATGCCAGGGCCCTGTAATCCCCTGGGTCCCTCCCATCAAGAGGACAATTGAGGCTGCGGCCACAGGGCCCCCAGAAGCACAGGGCCTGGGGCGGCTGCCCCGATTCATCCTATTGACGGAATGGCTCTGGTTACCAGTCTGTGCCATGCAGGTATATGGCAGCCGTCCTGTGGGGAACGGTAGGTGTCCAAGTGCAAACGCCCAAGGGTGCAACATTATGTCGCGTGGGCCTGGGATGGGATGTATGGACCCTGCACTGGGCCTGCAAGGGTTAACCAGGCCTACCTGTGCGAGAGCGCCCCATCCCACAGCCCTGCTGGGGGGCAGGTGGAAAGGCCAGCGGAGGACCGTGGAGAAGGCAGGGGGTGTGTGTGGCCAGTCCTCTCCGGGAGGGCTGTAGATGGACTGAGCTGTGGAGGGGGGCCAGCGGGAAGGGCTGCAGAAGCCCGTAGGTCGCAAGGGACTAAAGGGGAAGCCACCGCCTGCTGTGAACTGGGTAGGAAGTAGCCCAGGGTGGGGAATTGGATCCCTGAGAGCTCAGTGCGTTGTAGGCGGGTTCCCTGCTGAGCTAATGGTGGGACCTACCCACCACTGCCAGGGCCCTGGGCTGGGACCCGGTGGAGGGGGAGGGCCTGGGTTCCCCCACTCCATTAAACCCCAAGGGGTCACTATGGCTGTGGACGTTGCCTGCTCTGCCTTATTGCCCCATGAGGGTGGGGAATTGGATCCCTGAGAGCTCAGTGCGTTGTAGGCGGGTTCCCTGCTGAGCTAATGGTGGGACCTACCCACC